TCCTCGTGGCTCATTGGGTTTCTGCTAAATAACAACCCCCCAATGAGACTGCATGGTGACAGTGCTCTGCAGCATCACGGTCCCTCCCTTCCCAGGACTTAGAGCGTCCAAGGACCGTCATATCAGACATGCTCAAGAGGGTAAACTCCCTGGATTTTGGCCTTATTTTCAGAGGCAGTGCTAGGATGGCATGGCTGTGTTTGTGATGTGGGACTACTTTACCCGCTGTGTCCCCCAGAAGGGACCCAGCATGCCACCAGCCCCAGGACTGCCCACCTCGCCGTGCTGCTGGAATCCCAGAACCAGCTCCAGCCCCAACACACCTTCAGCCACTTGGCATCGCCTGCATTATTGGCACGTGGGAGACAACTGTTCGTTTAAAATCCATATGGGCCATCATTTAACCATGCCTTTTAAATTATTTCAAGAGCTGTTTCCCAGTATATGCTGAAGCCCCTCATGGTTGACTTTTACACAGGAGCCCAGGAAAGTGCAACCCAGTTAAGATCTTCTGCAGGTGGCAGAAGGGAGGTTGCTGGGAAGAAGCAGAAACCAGGTAACACACGTCCTGCAACGTGGTGTATAATCTACAGCGATGGAAAAGTCCCGTGGTGAGGGAAGTCCCCAGATTCCTGCCTTGAACTCTACTGCACCCCAAGCTCCTTCAGCCAGCAGCTTTGCCCCCATTTCACGTGTTGCTCTGCTGACGTCTCCAGTTTAGGCAGGCAAAACCATGCACTGGCATTTCCACTCTGGATCTCAACCTTAAGGATCGTATCACACCAGCCCGGCTGATGCATACAACCACAAAAAATAGAGAAATATCCCTCAGCCTAGAAAAAGCCATGTAGATGCCACAGACCCCACCTGAGCCGGAGGCTAACCTCGTCCAAGGCACCAGATGCCCATAGCTGTCCTGCGGCTGTGCAGCAATGTTTCCTCCTGCACGGACACTGCTGATTTCAAAGGAATCTGGGTCAGGTAAGGATTTATCCTGATGTCTTCCTGGGCAAATAGCTGCTGCTGTGGTTCACATTTGGGTTTTCTCTGCAAGGCACTGACTAGCGTGCATTTCACAGCCACTTTTTGCAAAGCCTACTTAGAATGCATGTGCCTCCCTTCAGGTGATATTTGTCAGATTCCTACTATGGAAATGTTTTTACCTCCTGACAATACCCTTTAGATAGTGCCTATGGAGGTGGATGACTCAAGCTTGACATGATGATTTCCATCCACCATTTTTTATTAAAAATACTCCTTGAGCTTCGTAATGTGAAGACAGAATCTGGTTTTTAAAGGGATGTGGAAACCACAGAGTATGCACAAATTGTGCCACAATTTTATGTCAACCAACAATAGCCAGAAAATCTATATGTAAAACAGTTCCTCCCAGCCTTAATTTATAATCTCATGCATAGAAACCGCTAAGCATATGGCAATAACTTCCATCCGAAACCCCACCGTAGTTGGCGGTCCCTATGAGACAGGTTATGGATGGCCTGCCACTTTCAACTTCGTCACTTACTTGATGTTACAAAGTTAAGTATCGCCTAATATAGCTTTCTGCGAGTTAATTCCCTTTGTGACGGTGACAGCTTCTAAAAACCCTCACACTACTACAGAACCGCAAATAGCAAACACCGCTGCTAGGAATAGACAAGCCATCAGCAGAGTGACCTGCTATCTCTCCAGCCTCTTCCCTTACTGCCAGCATAGTATTTAAAGCAGGATGGAAAAAAACAGAGTGGAGTTAAAGTCGACAGATGGCTGATGCAAGTCGGAAAAGTTTTCATAGGAGAAAAAGAACCGGTCGGAGAAGACGCAGAGCAGTACCTTGAGCACACAGCTCCGAACGGTACGCGTTCATCCCAAAACCCAGACTCCTTCCCCCGTATTTTAATTGAAGTCAGAAATATTTTTCATTTCCCGATCTCCGTATTATCCTTCACGCGCTGACCGCAGGCTGCAAACGCCGAGCGTTCGTCGGTATGCGCTGCGGGGAGGTGCCGGGGGAGACCCGCTGCCTCCCAGCCCGGCTGCGCAGCACCTTCACCCTGCAGCATCCCAGAGCCCTCACTTGCAGAAATCCTTCCCAAAGCCAACGGCATTAAGACACGCAATGCTAGACACGAAAAAAAAAAAAAATCTGCTGGAAAAAAAACGACAGATCAGCCACTTGTTGGAGCATTCTCTGCAAGTGCAGAGAAGCATTATAGAAAATTCCCACTGACTTCCCCAGCTTCAAACCTTTAATAATTTAATACGTGTGACTGGAATTTCTCAACAGGCTGGAACTCCCTCGGGACCAAAATCTCATTGAAAAAGAAACCAAGGAGAATTTGGCACCTCTTTCCCAGCCTGTAAGATTAAATGCAAATATGTTATTGGCATCGAGCTATCACAGCTTGATATATACACAAAGCTCCCATACACTGACATTAACTTCTCCAGGAAGAACATTTTGTTCCTCACCCTGAGATAGTTTATGCTTAAAGGTAGAAAGGCTATTTCTGTTTTGGGTTTGGGCAGTCAACAGTTGTACCTTTACCAATTACCAGCACACCTGGGCACTGATCTAGCCTTAGTGACAAAACACAGTTAAGACAGTGACTGCTAACATTACATATAATTTCCAGTGGCTGGGCTGTGCTCTGGTAGCTGGCACACAGAAAAGTGTCTCCGGCTTCTTATGCTGCTCCAGCTTTAGCGGACACGAATCAATTCAGTACCACTTCTGTGTTTGCAGGGGGAAAATAATGGCCTGAGGTTGAGCTCTTCTCTGCTAGGCTAAGAACTGGGGCATATCTTCACGGCAAAGACACAAAGCCCTCGAAAACAGGTGTTTGTAAAGCAAAAGGCTGTCAGAAAAAAAAAACAAAAAAAACCTAAATTCTAACAAGAAGCCTGTGCTTAACAGGCAGAGAATAAATGGATGATTAGTTAAAGAGCCCTAACCATTCTCCTGAAGAATGAGGGGGATACTCTTTGTGAACAGAGATGAATGAACTCTGCTGCTCTCCAATTCAATAGCACAGTTATAATGGGGCACCGACCACATTAAATGGATGCAGCGCTCGCATTAGCAGCGACTCGGCTGCTGCCTTCTCAAAAGACGACTCCACTACACCTAATTCGCTTCATTTGCCGTTAATTAACGGAGATGATCCGCAGCCTCTCGAGCGCTGGTTTCTCCTCGGGGAAGGCGGGTCTGGCCGTGGGGCTGTGCCCCGCTGCCTCCCTCAGCCTCTGCTCCCAGCCCCGAGCCGCCGGTGGGAAAGCGATGCCCCAGAGGGCTTGCGAAGCTCGCAGCCCACCCGATGTGGCTTGGGCTGACAGCAGGGAGACATGGGAAGGATGGAAAGGAGACCAGCCCCCCCCCCCCCCCCCCCCCACGTCCAGCCACACACCATTTCCAAGCAAACAGCAGGGGAAAAATTAAAGAAAAGTTTCCCCCGTGCAACTCCGACAGCGGGTTGCAGCCCTGGTGCCACTTGAATCAGCTCTTGATGGTTGTCTGCAAAGCTCAAAGGCAGTTCCAGCAGATGTGCTCTAATCAGGGTAGGCATAGCAGAAAACCTCTTGTTCTCTGCATTTGAAACAAACTGTGAGACCTCATCCAACGTCCTCCTGTCTGCTCAGCCAACCCCTGTCACCCTGAATAGGGACAACAGCTAAGCTTTACCTTGCAACATAAATTGTCATCTATAGGATGCGCAAAAGCTGAGCCGGTTCAGGTCTGCTCACTAATTCCAATCTTCAAGCAAAGCTCCTGTAACGCAGAAGAGCCCAGAAGACGCCTCTGCAGTCCTTGTGTTCTCAGGGTCTTACCCAAGCTGCACTGAAAGTGGTTTCTCACGGCACATCTATGTGCATTCAGCACATACTCATTGGGCAGAAGACAAGCAGTTACAGATACTCAGAATACACTCTTTGTACTCAAGATAAGTTAACGTAAAGCTCGCAAAACCAAATCCAAAGGTTCCAAGTTGACAAAGGCTTGAAAACTAAGGTCTAATTTACCAAAGCAGAGGTGAGAAGGAGGAGGGTGGGCAGAAATGTTGGCCTTCTGTTTTGCCAAAATGCCTCCAACCTGTCCTGGAAGGACCGTTTCCACCTTACACCATCCCCTTGCTCATTTCCTCATCAACTTCTCCATCGAGACCATTGATTATGATCGTGGCTTGTACCAAATGTCCACTGGGAAGCAAACCAAGAGCTTCAGTTTGTTCCACAGCCCTCAAAGACCAGCTGCCAACAATATTAACTTTTGCTTAGAAATGATCCTGGTGAGCCACACATGCCTAGAAAAGAGGACTCCTCACCACGAACCAGACTGGGTGTCTACCTGACCTCATGTCCCATCTGCGGGGCAGAAGAGATTAGCAGTAACCAGCTTCTAGGGAGGAAATTATGGGATCCTACAGGCAGCAGATGCGGACAACCTTCCTGATAGCCTTTGCCAGCCTGAGTGTGGTCTGTGCTCCCAATCACTGACCTGGAAAAGGGAATTTTAAAGCTCTTTCCAGCTTCTTAAGCCACAAGCCACCACCATGCATCTTGTTATATTGAGACACAGAGAGAAACCTCACTTTTGAACAGCCACAAAGCAAATGAGAAGACTTGCTAGGAAGACAGATTCAGCTCTGCATGTTCCCAGGAAAGGCTAAAGACATCTTTATAAAAAGATATTAGCTTAACTTTTTCTCTTGCAAAGTTTTGCCCATAAAAAGCAGCCTTTCTCTTTCAAAAAGCTGCCTTATTTCTAGGCAGAAAGACAAAATCTGAGGCTAAAAACAGTCTACAGCTCTCAACATGACTTTGGTGGGGAACCTTTTCTTTGTCCCTGATCTGCTGAGCCATCTCAGTTCTGACCTGCCTTTTGCTCATTGCTTCACGGGGAGAATACCTTTGGCTATTGCATGACAACGCTACCAAGAAGGTGAAAATGAGCCTTTCCCTGATCCCAGCCCCCTTTGGAAAACCGCAAGGACGTTGCTCACCATCTAGTTCTTCCACGGAGATATTCGCTAGCTGTTCGCTGTCGCTGCCAGCGGAGAGGGGGCGGTTCAGGTAGTTGCCTTTGTACAACAAGCCAGCTGTTACATGGTGGAATGGCATCTTCTCCCTGGGCACGAGAGAAAAAGGAAGAGAAGGGCTTATTTAAGTGATTTGTCTTTGTTTTATTTGAATAGTATAATAGCCTGGCTTGAAAGAGTAGCTGGACCAAAGCATCCTATAGCAGGGAACGCACACTCAAGTTGGGTGCATGATCACAGATTTTATTTACTGTCTAAGACAGGAGCTAAACAAACAAACAAAAAAGCATCAGCTTCTTCTTTATGCTGAACAAGAGTTATCAGAGACAGAACAGCGGTGCCTTAGGACAATATGAGTCCCCAGCGCTCATACTGCCGCTTTCAGCCTAGAGACTTGCTATTTGGTAATAATTATATAGTGCATAGAGGTCTACATTGACTTGCAATTAAAAAGTCATAGGATCCAGCAGCACGACTTTCAAAGGCATGCAAGGGTCTGGACACAAGCTCTCAGGCCCTGCTCCGGAGCATCCAGAGCCCTAAAACTGTTCAACCCCCCAGCCCAGAGCATCCCTGCTGAGCGAGACGCACGTCGCACCGCTGCCTCCGCTCCAGACTTCAGTGGCCCTCGCTGAAAGAAGAAAATTCACATTTGAGCAGGGACCAACAAAGAACATTTTCATCTCACAAATATGACAGCTAAGGAAAAATACTGCTCAATGGGAGGCTGTAGCAGAAAAGTGTTTGCAAACTTAGCAGGTATAAACACCGCAGCCTAGTGAAGGGCAGCCATCTGCACAGACAAAAGTGGAAATTACTGTCAGCAGCACTTACACATTGATTTAGGATACACAAGAAAGAGGCGAGTTTGCCAAAGTCAATTGAAATATTAAGAGGAAGATTTGTCATACCCTTGGCTGGTTTCAATCAGCGCAGCCCCATCATGGGCCTATTGCGTTTTATACTGTACGTTGCCAGCAGATATAAATCAGCGGAGTCAACAGAGCCACCCAGACATCAGCCGAGGATCTGGCCCAGGGTCTCTGCAGGGGCTGGAAGGTGGCCAGGACACGCTGGGCAGTACGGTTTGGAACGGACCATTAATATACGTTTATATGGCAACTTTGGCAGATCTCACTCACACCAGTGGGGGATGTGGCCCCTTGGAAACGACCTCCAAGGGCATTCCCACTACAGCCACACCGGGACATCAGCGTGCTTTGCCGTAAAGAGATAAGAGCCACCTACTGAATCGTTCTCCAGCCAACACTACAATTACAAGGATGATCTGGCTCTTACTCAGCCATATGTTCTTACCACAGTCAATAAAACAAATATATACATATATATTCATTAATTTTGTAACAAATACCTTCTTGCCTCACTGAGTTAGTAAAAGCTTTAATAGACTCACCAAGAGCAAACTAACCTCAAGACACAGGAAAGCGAAGAAGAAAAGCCGTGAGGTTTCTCTTGCACTGCTTAGCACGTACCTAGAATTTCTCTTGCAGTAATTATGTAAATAAATCCTAATCGTAATTTTAAGTATTTTTATTTGGGAGCCACTTTCTTCAGCAGCACATTAGAAACCGTAAACAAGGTTTTCTTTTTCATTAAGCATATCTGTAATTTCCCAGCACTTGCCAATTAATGTATTTCATTCTGATATATTGCTCGCTCTGACATGCTGCTCTGCGCTAAGACGAGAATTTTACCTACCCACAGGGAGGTAAAGCTTTTTTACCCACTCAGCTTTGGTACCTCTCTAGGTCCCGACAAGCAGGGGTAGAGAGACCCTTCCAGCCCTTCACACTGCCTTCATGAGCTTCCAGTCCCACCACAGCATATTCAGGCAGCAATCGATCCATGTTTTCTCTCGATAATCACACGCCCAACGTAAAAACAATTACACTGATTTTCAAAACCCTACCAAATTCTAGAGATTTAAATCTCACACCTGCAACGGCCCAGCGGAGCTTGCCCTGCGACAGCAGCGCACCAAGAGCCCACGGGGTTGGGGATGGATGGCAGCACCCGCCTGCGCTGGCCCCGGGGCGAAGGGAGCTCAGCCCCCCGCACTCACCCGCTGTCGGAGTAGCGGCAAGCCGTGCATTTAGGTGCATTAAAGCATTTCTGAAATCCCTTTCTGTGCCTTCACTTCTACAACCATTAAAAAAAAATGACAACGCATCTCCGTCGAGGGCTGAAGTGCTTCAAATCAGCTCCCACCTGGGATCCTGTAACGCGTTTTAGTACTGGGGGGGGACACCCATGATATCCCAGAGTGAGAAATTCTGGATTAAATTCCACCACCGAGGTATATTATTATTTTTAAAATTGCGATATTATTCAACGGAAACCCTGCTGAATTCCAGCACCTCTCAGCCTGCCTCCAGTTTTGACAAGAGATGCTCAAAACCGGACCGGCAGCAGCGCCAGCGCCAGCTGTCCAGACAGGGATGCACAGCCGCGCTTCGGGAGCACTCGGCATCCTGCAGACGGGAGCCCTGCTGTCGAAATCCAGCCTGCAACGGCAGGGGGAGAGAACGGCAAAAAGGGGCACTGCAAGGTGTGGATTGTGGGAGAGCTTGCCAAACAATGCACCACATTTTGCAAAGCACCCTATGTTGAAAGACCTCAAAAGCTTCGTGGAAATAAGTAGGTGCCAGATGCCTGTCTGGGAACGGGAGGTCTGTCCTAGCACAGCCAGATCGGCCCAGGCTCATTTTGAATTTAGCCAGAATCACAGAATCATAGAATGGTTTAGGTTGGAAGGGACCTTGAAGATCATCGAGTTCCAACCCCCCTGCCATGGGCAGGGACACCTCCCACCAGCC